GAATCTTCATCTTCATCTATAGAGCTTCAAATTAAGCCTTCAAACTCAAGTTTTAAGCCATGGTAGATAAAAATGGGTTTTTAGTGAGGTTCAAGAAACCAAACATTTCTAACTCATTTTTAGTGGATTTAAGTATTAGAAAGTGTCCTTAACTTCAATCCAAGCTCCTAGATGATTTAGTAACTCATTTACATTGTTTGTGATTAGTGAAAGATGTGAGAGAAAGGTCCAAGGTTAAAAGAAATGAGAAATTGACCCTTAGTTGATTCAAAAACGTTTTTAGCAATGAAGAAACTAAGATAATACAATCACAAATCTTTCATATCATTTATGAGTCAAGAGAATGAATCCAACTAGTGAGAATTGGGTTGTGAGGTATGAATGAGCATTCATGGTATATTCAAGCTTTTGGTGTTCTTAGCATGTATAAAGGCCCATTATGACCCCTTCTTTCATACATAAGACTTAAAGAACATTTGGGGACCTCAGTAAAACACTTGGGGTAGATTAGGAAGTAATTTCGTGCCCAAACAAAGCATTCTAGGTTTGAGTATCTGTACTACAAGAACAATACCAATATTGTTCATTAGCTAGTTTAAAATATGGGAGTTTGGGAAGGAAAATATCGATATTGCTATTCAGGTTTCGATACTCACAGGGTGGTATCAATACTGAATACACTTATCAAATTCCAATAGGCCATTTTAGTATTGGTACTCATGTGAATATCGATATTGAAGGTAGAGTATCAATACTCCCAATAGGAGGATCAATATAGAGGTATTTTTTTTAAATATCGAAGCAAAATTTGGTATCGATACTGGTTCAGGAGTATCAATATTACCCTTTTTCATATCTTGTAATCACCATGTAAGTATCGATACCCAAAGGCAAGTATCGATACTTGTGGGCAGTATCGATACTAAAGCGGCTTAGTATCAGTACCATCACACATTTTTCGATAAGAAACCCAAGGAATTTAGAAATAATATTGAGAGACCCAAGGACACTTAAACATTATCAAATAAAATTACAAGTGAGAACCCTGGTAATATACAATTATAGATAGAAAAAATATCAACTAGGACGACATAAAACTAGCCTTCGTTGATGCTCGAGAAATGGTCAGGACACCCGAGTTACTTTAGCAGATGATGATGGTTTTGAGGTATAGAGTATTTAGATGTCCTTAAGCAAGTGCGCGAGGAACTTTAAGACTAACTAGGGTACGAAGCCCAATCACTCGCAAGGGATGGGTTAGTCGGGTGTTGTGTCCGATATAGAGATTTCGAACCTCACCCTATGTAGGCTAGAGGGGTGTGTGTCTCGATATGTGTAACCCTCCAACTATAACATCATGTCTACCATAGAGTAGTGTGCAGTATATAAGTATACTCAATTTCTTTATTGCACTTGATAGCATTAACATTTAATGAACACTTTTAGTATGATTTAATTGTTAGTGTTGAACTAGGATAGTGAGCTTAGTGTTCAAAATTTGTTTATGTGCATAGGTCTTTAAGAGGAGCATTCGAGGAGCTTATTGTACAATAGACGATATATATTACGTATTGAGTCTTTTCTTTAGAGGGTATGTATTATTCATAGATCTTCTTGTACTTGAGTCATAACTTATTTTCAATTGCTCGATTGTATTATTTTCGATGTATTTATTTGGGAGCTCCCAATGTAGATTAAATATTATATTTTGATTTTACTTTTTATCGAGTAGTCTTTTGTAATGCCTCAAATCTCGGGTTAGTAGTTTCGGGTTAACCCGATTGGGCCTTAGAATGAATCCATTAGCATTTTAAAAAGTTTTGGACTAAGTGAGCATTGGTATGGGCTAAGCATAGTCCCAATGGATGATAAAAATGGGCACTTTTATGTTGTGATAAAAAAAGAGGACCAAGAAAGAAAATTACCCCTAAACTTTCCCAAATGTTGAATCATTTTAATGAAGGATGATGTTAACGGGGGAAGTTTTCATATCTCATTTTCTTTAAACCTTTAGTTTTCTTCTTCATCTATTTAAACTTTCTCTTACATGGTATCTTAAGAAAGGTAAGATATTTATTCCATTTCAAGACTTGCTCAATAACACCAAGGTAAGAACCTTAATCCCCTTATTCTAAATGTCAATTCAAGCTTCTATGGCAAGTTTTGGGCAATGTTACCAAATATGGGTTTAATGTGGGTTTTAGAAACCTAAGTGATTTCAGCTCATTTTTTAGAGATTCAAGCCTCAAAAAATATTTTAAATTCCCTTCTAAGTTTCTCAAAAATGTTAGTAACATTTATGTTTGATCATTGTCTAGTGAGAGAAGCTGAAGAAAGTTCCAAAGCTAGGAGAATAGAGAAGCTCACTCTTGGTTGAACCTTTGGTGTTTCTAGCAGCTTAGGAATCATAGGTAACTCACTTCTAACTCAACTCTACCACATGTAGGTCATTAGATGTGTTTTGGTAGGTTACATGAGTTATGAAGTATGTTCATGGTAGAATTTAGAAATCAGTGTTTTTCAGCATGTTTATGGACTATTTATGACCTTTATATTCATACATAACTCTTTAATAATGTTTGGAGACCTCAATAGGATGTTTAAGAGTGTTGAGGAGACATTTTTGCCCAAAATAAGGTATTTCTGGGCATAAGTATCGGTACTGGGAGAACAATACTGATATTGTTCTTTAAGTGTAAAAAAGGGTTTTGGGGTATAGAAGTATCGATACTCATGCAATGGTTATCGATAATGTAGGTGAGGTATCGAGACTCGCAGGGTGGTATCGATACCGAGTTCACTTAGTAGATATCAATAGCCAAATTTGTAACAATACTCATAGGAGTATCCATACCAAGGGTAGAGTACAGATACTCCCAAATATAGGTATCAATACTTAGGCATTTTTCAAAACATCGAAGCCAAATTTGGTATTAGTACTTAGTAAAGTACCAATACCTCAGAGTATATGCATCGATACTCAAGAAGGAGTATTGATACCAACCCTTTTTATCAACCTTCAATAAGTTAGTGATATCGATACCCAGAGGTTAGTAACGATACCTAGAGGCCAGTATCGATACTAGGGAGCTTAGTATCGATACCCACGAGCAGTTTTGGGTAAGAAACCCAAGGGTTTTAAAGGTTAGAATTGATGGACCCAATAACAGCAGAATATCATGAAATAAAATTACAAGTGACAACAATAAATAAGCTTAGAATAGTTAGAAACAACAACGGCTAGGATTACATAAAACTAGCATTGTTTGACGCTCGAGACACAGTCAAGACACCTGAGTTACTTTAGTAGATACGATCATACAATTGGATATCCCAGTCAGTGTCGAGGCATTTTAGTCTTTAGTTGGGTGCAGATACCCCAAGACTTGACAGAGTAAGTTGGCCGGGTGTACGTTTCCAATACAACTCCAGATCTCACCCAAATACCCAAGGGTATTTTAGAAATACTAGAAGGGTGTGTGAGCTCTAAGATGCAAAACCCTCAACCACACCATGATGCATATATTGGCGTATCATATTAACATTTCCATATCTTCATAACTATACCACTAGTATGCTCATTTAGTGAATGCATGTAGTATTGTACAGTTATTAGTGAGGCACTTGGCTTGTAAACTCAGTGTTCGAAATGTGTTTCCGTGCATAGGTTCTTAGGGGATCAATTGTTAAACATTATCATCGCAAGCATTTCCAACTCAGCAGAGACTTCAGAGTACGTCTTGATCTTTTATTAGAGGGCATGTACTTTTGTGGACCCTTGTATTCAGATGTAACTCTATTTTGATTTTAAACTCAATGTATTTATTTTGGATGATTTGGGAGTTCCGAATATTTTGTAAACTTTAAATTATCATGTTTTATTTTATTTTATTCGAGATGAATTTTATATGGTATTTTACAGTTTTTTAAAGAATATTTTTGGGTTAGCCACTTTGGTGGTCCTATGTGACATCATGATCCAGTAATATTTGAGTCAGACTAGATTAAAGTGTTACATCTTTATATGGTGATTTACAAATGCTTTAAAGAAAAAATTTATGTTAGTCACTCTGGTGGTCTCGTGTGACATTCTAATCAGTCGACCCCGACTTTTATCGGATTAGGGTGTTACAGCTCTAAACAGTGAAATTTTCGATCCCTACTAGTTGATGTTATGCTAAAAGTGTGCCTGACGTATCTGACAGATACAAAAACAATGAGAGGTTGGAGTGGATGATCGTGGAGTCTAGTGAGAGGGGCATGGTGGATTAGGATGAAAAAGAGGAAAAAAATCCTAACTGAAAAATCAAGAGAAAATAGGCCAGGAAATCACGAAGGCCTAATAAACCTGAAAACTGATACCATGTCAAAACCATTAAAGAAATTTTCACACTTTTTATTCATTTGAACTAAAGTATATATACAAAGAAGGATTACTCTAACAAACTCTTTAACAACCAAACAAACTCTACCAGAATTACAACAACAAAGTCTAACAGATTGTTAGGATACTGATAAAGAGTTAAACTAGATAAAGTTAATCGATATAGTTCAGATAGGAGAAAGACTTTGTAGGGTGAGTGACGGTTGTAATGTTTAGGTTTTCGAGTGATTTAAGGCTAGGCTTAGGCTTTGGTCGATTATGTTAAGTTCAAAGGTTTGATTTTGAGCTTAAATTAAGATTTAGACCTTATTAGGGTTTGATTTGGCCTGGTGTAGTGGCCCAGATGAAATTTAATGATCATAAAAATGAATTAGAGTTAGTGGCTTAATGATTAAAAATGTAATAAATCGATAACGTAAATAATTAAAATGTAATTTTTTTCTTAAAATTAATGACCAAAGTAAGACATACAAAAATCAAAAGTGACCCTAGGGTGGTTTATCCTAAAATATATTTGTATTTTAAGTATGAATTTGATTAAACTAATTAGCCCAAATTAAGAAGAAGAAAAAGTTACGAAACCGAATTTAGCGGAACAGACGGCTCATAAAGGAAAATAACCCAACGCTTTCCCATTTTTCGCAAAGAAGATCCACCAGACTCGCCCCTCTTTATATTCTTCACGCAAACCTACTACCCACCAACCGTCCCGATGGCCACTGCCGCCGCAAAATCCGTCGCCACCACCGCCACTCCTGCATCCGTCACCGTCGCCGCTAATTTAATCACAGAACCGAACCCTAAGAAAAATATTCCAGCATCCACGCATATATCAGATCCTCCTACAACCGTTCCCCGTTCCAATGCTGAAGGAACTGTAAAGGGAATCGAAGATTCGAAGACCACGGGGACTACTGCGGGATCTGTCGCAGGGGATACCAGCGTTCCCGTTTACGATATCCAGAAGAAGATTCGCCGAGCCGAGCGGTTCGGCGTGCCTGTCCAGTTGTCCGAGAAAGAAAAGCGTAATTCTAGGGCAGAGAGGTAAAATTCATCTATTTTACCTTCTCATTTTAGGTAGTATTTAGGGTTTTCCTTTGGTTTAACCTAGTTGGCGAGCATTTCTGAAGAGAAGAGAAGAAATTATTATTATTTTGTTTTAATTCGAAAATGTGTATTCTAATAATTTTCTTTAAATGCGATTGTTGATTGTTGGTGCCCTGAGAAGCCTAGATTAGTACTCTTTAAACTCGGTCATTGTTTAGATTGTGTACAATCTCTTAGAAGCTCTTTATTTTCAATTTTATTGTCTCTTAATCAATTTATCCGTTGGTTCTTAAGAATTTAGTGTGACCCCTTTATGATTTTACCTTATTTCCTTGATAAACATGCCTTCATTATTGTCTTACCTAGTTGGCTCAGTTTTGTGTTGCGTTGGAAGGAATTTTACAGTAAAGATCTCGTAACTGTAGTCGTGGAAGTTGAACTACATTTCTTGAGTTTTCTGTGTTTGTTGCTTTGTGGACCAATTTTGCAGGTTTGGCATTGCACCCAGCTCAAAGGGATCAGAAGCATTGAAGCAATCAGAGGTGGTGAAGAGGAAGGCTAGAGCAGAGAGGTTTTTGTTTATACCACCTTTAAGGCTTTACCCTGTGATGTATTGCTCGGAGTTGCATTTAATCAGTTTATTATTTCTTTTCCTGTGCTTCCAGGTTTGGGCTTGATGTACCCTCTACAGCTGTTGATGAGGCAGAGAAAAAGAAAGTTCGTCTTGCCCGATTTGCACCATATGCCAAACCTGATACAGTGGAAGGAGAAAAAAGAAAAGCTAGGGCAATAAGGTTTGTTCCAATGCGAAGTCACTGTTTCCTACATTGTTAGATATCTATAATGCCTAAAGAAATCTTTATTGGAAAAGATTTATTATGCATGCTGATATTGAAATTTGATTTTTTTCCTGATCTTTCCAGATTTTCGAATCCTCCATCAAGTTCTTTGGCCCAGGTAAATGACAAGGGGAATATTGAACCAGTAAGGGCTTAATTTGTTGTTTCTCTGTCAAATTTCATGGATCTGAGAAAAAATCCAGTGTTTTAAAGGTATATACACTTTTTCAGGAGGCTCCAATTGCTGGAAAAGCTGGTGGAGGTCTCTAAATAGAAATTACCGTAGTTAAAAGGTATCTTTGGAGATATGCATTTCCCCATGTAGACAGATTTACTTGTTTAAATAGGTCCATCCATATTATTCAGTTAGTCATATTTTCCACTGTTGTTTTCTTTTCCTTTTTCAGGTTCAGTGTCCTAACAGCGCCTGATTCTCTTGATGCTTCTTACAGTGTTTTTTTCTAACATCAAAATTCTAGGAGCAGTACTCCTTCTCCAGATGAATTTCCATATCAGTGGCAAGGCATTTTTGGCAGTTTGAAAGGTGTTTTATGGTATCTATTCCTTTGGTGAGGCCTTTTGGAATCAACAACAACCTGGAGTGTTCACCTATCTCAAATCTTACAAAGAGTACTGGAAACTCTGGAGTAATGGCTAGAAATTTTCTAGTTTTCCAAGTTAGATAATTTAATTATGGAGGTGGTTATTAGAATCAACTTAAAAATTAATGAGTTCTGTTTCTTACACTGTTTTAAGTTATAAAGTATCATCAAGTGTGAGACAGCAGTAGTAATCATATTGAGTCTGACATTTATTTCCATGGGTTAAAATAGGAAATGATATATGCTTCTTAGGAATTCTTTTCTACTTCTCATTTTTCTAGTGGTACTCTTACTGTTTTTAATATGTTAAGGCTTGTAGGGTTTTTAATATGGTACTTTTTTTATGTATTTAGATTAGTTTCTTTTGAGGAAGTCTGTAGTCTGAGAGTTGGTAAGGGTGTTAATCTTTAGTCTTTAAATAAGATTGTTTTTGTTGATTTGATCTCTTTTTCATCTTATAGATTTGAACATTTTCCTTTTACTAAAAAAAGAATCAAATAAAAACCATTTGTTAGATATGCGCATGAGCATGCTTCTTAATCGAAGTGATAGTTTGCAGGCTTGCATGCATATGCTTACTATGTGTGATGACTGGCATTGGTTCAACTTAAGTTGATGGTATATTTCTATTACAAATTGTCGTTGTGATGTTTTGTTATGGATATGTTACATCTTCTGTTCGGCATTCGATAACGAGAGAAATGTTGAAAATTGGCAATGCTTTTATAATATGATGATTGCTTACGAACAATATTTCTATAGGTAAAAACATTTGGCTGAGCCTGTTACTTCAGAATCTCAGGATTTTTCTGATGATGTATTTGAGATGAGTGAACACTTGTCTTTTAGGTGATTGGTAGCTTCCATTGGTCTCACCAAGTGAATTGGGTAATCTCTGCAAGGTAATTTGTGCTGGAAGTGAAGCTGTTTGTTTAATCAATGTTTTCCTCAGTTTGCTTGTTTACTTGTTTGGTCATGTAATTTTATTTTGTTTATTTATCAACAATATTTAGATTTGGAATTTATGTTTTGGTTGGATATGCTTATATGGAACATGATTGAGAGAGTATTATATATTCTTTTAATCAAAGGTAATATCTATTATTAGAGGTGAGTGTTCGATCAAGTTGATTAATTTTTTTTTGAGTTATTCGAGTTGATGATTTTATTCATATCTCAATTTTATTTGAAAATTTTCAGTCGAGTTTATAAAATTTGAGTCAAGTTCGAGTATCTATATAAATTTAATTGTAACTATTTTTAATATTATGTTACCATTTGATTTTAATTTAAATGTTTTTTTTATGTTTTTTTTATGTATGTGATAACATATATCATATAAAGTTGCGAGATTCAACTTAAACTTGAAAATTAATCTGTTAGTTATTAAAATTTTGAGTTATTTGAGTTTTATTTTATATTTTAATTTGAATTTGATTTTTTTTAGTTAAGTTGAATTTGTGAAATTTTAAGTTAATTCGAGTCGAATTGAAAAGATTAATTTTTTGAGTTGAATTGAGTTTTCTTCCTCCCTAATAAGTATTGTATTATTTAGTTGATTGAATGAAATAGATATGACTGATGTTTTAGGAAGATTTTGAGTTTTAGAGATATTATTCAGAAGAACTAATCATGAATATCGACAGATTTAAAACTGATATAGAAGTACAAGATGGATATTAAATCTATAACTTTTCTGTGTCATTTACATGTTTACATAATTGATATTAAAAAGAATATAACACAATTTTGTGAGATGAAAAATAAACAAAGAGTTTAAAAGATATTATAGTTGGGCCTTAATTACTCTAATTGTCACTCATTTTTAGAGTTTAATAATGCATTTTGAGGTGTTTCAATCACAATCTGTTCAGTAAAATCCTCCAATTACTACTGTTACTCGAACGTGCCCCATCTATATAAGCACAGATAAATTTACGACTGTTACTTTCATTGTGATATTGCACTATATAACAAAACTAGCCATTAGTGTTTAGTATAAAGATAAAAAAAAGTAAAACCCAACAAGTGACATTAATAGTTGCATGAAATATTGTTCTATGTAGACGTCTTACGTTCAAATAATTGTGTCTGTAGATATGTACGTGTTATTAATAATTAAGAAAGATTTTGACCTAAATCTTATAATTACTCTAGACTATTAAAAAAATATAGATAAAAGAAGGAATATGGTGGCCATGTAAGGCCTAAGCAAACATAAATTTGGATTATGAATGAGACATGATCAACTATGGTAGCTAAATTACAGGAAACCATATCTACACATTATGTTGCAGTCTCATCCCAAGTTTCTTTGGCAATAAACCAAACACCCCTAACGTATAGCTATTACCCTTTCCTGGCAAATGTTCCCTGAAATGAAGTTAGTCCCATATTTGTATGGCTATTAGACACCGGCGACGGCAAGCAAGTCGTCCTCCGCCTTTTATGGAAACGAGAGAGTTGTTGTACAAGCTTCCGTTGATCAATTGGGAATCTATAAACACGACTATGACTGTTATATCATCATGAAAATGTCTCCTCACCCCTCTATCAATCTTGTTCAGGTCTGAGTATCTCATTTCTCTTTTCCTTGCAGCTTCCTTCAGTGCAGCTTTAACAAGTCTCCTTGCAATGCCCTGCATTAAAAGGAAGAGTAAACCCGAAAATCTTCTTTTGTGCCTGTCATTATGCCATAGGTATTTCGAAACTTACATTTCGTGGGCTAATCTGGACAATTTTGACAACCTCCTGGTTGCTCAAGTGTTCCCAGAGACCATCCGAAGCAAATACAATAAATTGATCGTCGGGATGGAGTTCATGTACCAACAATGACGGCTCGGCACTAAGGATCGGCTTTTGAAACGATTCGGACAGTCTAAATTTAGGCAGGAGAGGCTCTTTGTTAAATTCTGCCTTCTTTAGATATGCATCACCAATGGATCTTGAAATCTGCAGTCATTAAAGATGGATCAATAAGAGACTTAAAATGAATTTGTTTTCAGTTGAGCAATGTAGCTTACCTGTATCAGGCCCTTGACACGCCAAACTTTGTGTTTCATCACAACAATCTGTGGATCATCGGGATGCAACGACCGTAGCTCGTCCCGTATGGCATTAGAATTCGCATTGTGCTCGATCGATAACTGCATCACCATAACTTCCTTAGTTCCTCTTACGGATCTGCCTAGGACTACTCTGGAATCACCAGCATTTGCAATGTATAGTAGTCCATTGCAAATCAGCCCCGTCAAACAGCACGATCCGACCGAAGCCATTTTCGGCTTGACGAGCCATTGTTTCTTCACAAGAGAAAGAAATTCGTCTTCCGTTGCCAAGAAAGCCTTTCAGAGATCATTTATCGATACGTCTTGATTCCCAGACACAAATGCTGCAACATCAAGAGAAATATAATAGTAAGCATTAGGCCAACTTAAAATGGAACTGCATTATGAAGGGAAATAACAGATAATGGACTTACACTTAAAATTGCAGAAAAGTTTGTCATTGATGAAGCTGGAAGCCTCAGGTCCACCATGTCCATCGTACACACCGATGAAAGTCCCATACGGACCAGACCGACTCGAACTCAACGACCCCGATTCGAGTTGGCTTTGATCCTCCAGCAAACTATTGGCTTGAGTCACTGCCATGGAGAAATCTCCATAAACATGTTGCCCCAAATCTTTATACCACAACAAACCATCATGGCACCCTCTAGAATCACTCTCAACAGACGCCTTCCAACAGGATTTAACCATTTTCAGGCAGCAAATGTTACATAAAATATATGTTCATAAAAAAAAATAAAAGATCCCAAGGCTCAAGTTTCTTCCCCCCCCCCCCCACAGTACTGTATAAACCCAATGTTTAGAAATATATAACCAAGAATTCTGAAACCATTATTACCAGACCAAATCTCAGACAAGGAACAAGCTTGGTATGGGCAAGCTTAACTGCAAAGTGTGTGTACATTGAGACAAGAAAGCAATAGTTTTAAAGTGAGTTATCAGAGAATATGGAGGTGTGCTGGTGGGCTGAGTACCTTGAATCTGGGTAAAATGTCTTTGGTCCCTTACACTGTGTGCCATGTTTCACCAACAGACATAGCTGGAAAAGAAATGGATAAGAGGAGACCTTGGGTTTTTTTTTGGCAGATTTTTAGTTTTATTTTATGCATAGTCTGAGGAGATCCAAGATGAGAAAATTAAAAGAGATTATATTGGGAATGTCTCAGGAAAGGCGGGTTAATATACGGTTAATATACAGTATTACCGGATACATTAAAATGTATTTAATAAATTCGGTTTAGCGGTACCTATTATGTTGACAACTAATAATGTTTTAGGTAGAAAATATGAAAAACTATTAAAAAATTTGGTAACCGGTAAACTTTGGTTATCGGTAAGTATCTATCCTTTTTATAAAAGTGTCCATACTTTTAACATATCAAGTAAATTTACCGGTTTTGTCATAATGAATCTGGTTTTGTCATATTTTTACCTGTTATATTGTAAATTATCTATCCTTTTTATAAAAGTGTCCATACTTATTTCACTGTGAAAATATATTTATTATTATCTTTAGTTAATATTGTTAAATTTAAAATCTAAATAATATTTTATAAAATATCAAAACAATCAAATAATTTTTTGTGTAAATGAAATTATTAAATTAATATTGTAGGTGGAAAACATGAAACACTATTAAAAAAAATTGAAACATAAATTACATAACTTTCAAAAAAATATATATCATTTTTATAAAAGTGTACATACTTATTTAACTGTTGAAAACATATTTATTATTATATTTGGTTAATATTGTTAAATTTAAATTCTAAATAATATTTTATAAAATATCAAAACAATCAAATAAAATTTTGTGTAAATTAAATTATTAAATTAATATTGTAGGTGGAAAACATGAAACACTATTAAATAAATTGAAACATAAATTACATAACTTTAAAAGCAGTTATAAATCCTAAAAAGTGTCGATACTTTTAAAAAATATATCGATCCAAAACGTATACCAGGTAAAATATGATAAAACCGGTAACAAAATGATAAAACCGGTAAATTTAAAAGTGTCGATACGTTATATAAGGATCGACACTTTGTGAATTTAAAAGAGAAGCAGTTATAGCGCCTATAATGTGTCGATACTTTAAAAAAAAATATCGATCCACAACGATATAACAGGTAAAAATATGATAAAACCGGTATCAAAATGATAAAACCGGTAAAATGATACCGGATATATTGAAAGTGTCGATACTTTCGTAAGTACGTGTAATAAATTATCGACACTTTCAAAGAAATAGGTAATTATCCTTTCGAAAGTATCGACACCTGACATAAAAGTATCGACACTTTTGTATTTGTATCGATTAAATATAAATAACATATCCGATGAAAATATAAAGGCCATAGCTAAATATCCTCTGAAAAAAGATAGAACGGACGAGTTTTTGAAATCGAAGAGTAATTGTTACTGCATTTCAGAAGGCGTTTCTAAAGCGAAGTTTGTTTGTTTGTTGCTGCAGTCGAATCGAAAAGTATGTTGTCGAAACCCTAATTTTTAATTATTACAGTAATCGCGATAGGGTTTTTTATGTGTTGTTTGGGGTTTTGGAGTAAGGAAGCATTTGGGACCGATTGCAGGTAGAAATAGATATTCAAGGAAAAATATAAATGTCGATACTTTTATTAAATATTATAGGTAGAAAATGATATTATAGGTTGTATAAATGTGCCGACACATTTTGGTGTGGCCATTCAAATTCTTTGAAGAAAACCGTTTTACCACAAGAGTAGTTATCTATATTTGTATATTGAAAAGTGTATGTAACAAAATAATTTGATTTGCGTAAACTGATATATGAAGGAAAATGGAGTCAATGGGTTGGAAAATTGTTGGTGGAGCAGATGACTTTGAAATTGAGGCCGAGACTCGAAAGCAACCAAAGGGTGGATATATGTACTTCTAGTAAGTATCAATGTCTTTTTGTTATTATTGTTG